TGGTTTCCCTAATTGCATGGATATGAAACTTAAGCTGCCTCAACAACAAAATTGTGGTTTGCTTTGAAGAAACCACGCAGTTGTGTCATTCTACGCTAAACAAGTGTTCAATTTGCGTCATTGGCTTGTTTACGATTTACACATCTGGCAGAAATTACTTCACTCCAAGTGCGACTTACACGGCTACGTCCAAATTCACCAACATTTTTGGGGTCGTTTCTAATGTCCAAATTCACCAACTTTCTACCTGGAGCAGGTACGATTTTTCTCCCGGCGGGCGGGGAAGGAATTCCAAATAGTTTGCCCTCGCCTGCTCCGTCTCGTCTCGGCGAGAGTGTACTGCTTAGCCCTAATAGTACTGTTTAAGCTGTGATTGTTTCAGACAGCTTTAGGTTAGGTTAGGTTAGGTTTGGTTAGGTTTGGTTAGGTTTGGTTAGGTTAGGTTATGTTAGGTTAAGTTAGGTTTGGTTAGGTTACAGTACACTCTCGCCGGGACGAGACGGAGCAGGCGATGGCAAACTATTCGGAGGGAATTCCTTCCCCGCCCGCCGGGAGAAATATCGTACCTGCTAAAGGTAGAAAGTTGGTGAATTTGGACATTAGAAACGACCCCAAAAATGTTGGTGAATTTGGACCTGGCCGACTTACACAACAAGTTAAGCGTTAGCGGATTAGGAATCTAAATCAACAATTGAACAGCTGTTTATAACAACATTAGACTGTTTACTAAAGTTGACATCCTAGCAATTTGTCAACAAACTGGAACCAGTCATTCACTTGCATAGAAAACATAGTAGAGCAAATCAGGGAGATTTATATAAGCCTAAGTTGGTACTATTTTCTCGTTATATTTTCATAGTATACTATAATTATAGTTGATAGATATTGTACGATGATGTACACTTAATCTATTACATAATTATCTTGATTGGTTCGGCTTATACAAAAGTCCATTAGCTAGGAAACTAACTGCAACGAATTTGATCCAATTTCATTTGATTGAATATGAAACAATGAAAATATAGGTATATTTAATTAAACATTTCCTGAGTATATATTGTTTAGTATCATTTCATTGTGTTGAATAACAAATTCAATACAGCGTTATGTCATTTAAAAGAATGAATACTTTCGACATGATTATTAGTAGCCTAATTACGTACAAAGACGAGGTCCAGTTTTGTTGTTATTTCTTTAGCCAGATACCTGTTTAGGGTTGTTATATTTATAATTAATAACAGTACTAGATACGTTATGGAGCAATATTTATAAAAACTTAAACCCTGATGATCAAGCTGGATCCAGTTTTAAATCGTGCATTAGACTTGCACCTAAACCCTACTTAACCCAGATTAATACAGGAACCCTACCAAACTTCATAAATAAATAGGCAAATGAAATATATTATTGAATTCCTAAATTATAAAAAAAACACAGTGTTTTGAGACGAGATATTTTTCATAAAGGCAGTGCCGGACGGTAAAGCTTTGAAGTTATGACCTCTCGGAATGTTTAGGTCAAGAGGTCAAACTGTTAAAGCTATCTGCGTGACTAATTCCTCAAGATCAACATGTGTGGTCGACGAATATGTAAGTGCGTACCTATAGTTCCATAGATTAAAGATTAAACTTACTTATAGATCATCCTTATGGATAATCTGAAGACAATTTGAGGTTTGTTTATGTATATTATAAGTCTTCTCTTTAGGCTGTTTTGGTTATTTAAATTATTCCAGCCAAATAAAAGGATACATTCGTAAATAATTTACTACATCGTATTTATACTACTATATTACTACTACTATACCGGTATATACTACATGGAATATTTGTATAATTTACTTTTGTATTTAATTATTACTAGTCATCGCGTGGTATGGTAACCAAAGAGTAATTGACTACCTTTGTATAATCAATGGTCAAGAGCTCACAGTAAAAGTCACATAAAGATAGAAGTAAGAAGTAATACAATTATTAGTTGATACAAAGCATTACTGATCATGAAACACACAATTGAAGCTTCAGGTTTTACATGATGATGATGTTGATGTTAATTAAATGTTACGAAGATGCGGGTCCAACTGTGTGGTTAATAAGCCTTATTTTTTACGAATTAACTTTGTTTAAATTAAATCAATTCAATAAATTTCCTGCTTAAGAGCAAAACTTGGGTGGATAAAATGTTGAAAAAAATTCTTCAGATCAAAAAACCTAGGTATCAAGGAAAAATCTCTTCAGGTTATTCTGTTTTTTATTAGATGTAGCCAATCTAGCCCAGGTAACTCTCTCTTGAACGATAAAATGAAGGTCGCCGATTTTATCCTAATGAGATAAGATGCTTCTCGAATTTTTGGGACTGGAACATTATCCTAAATCATTTGGAGCGTACTTCCTGGCAAAATGAAAACGATATAGATTTTATGTGTACTAAATTTGTACATACATCCAGTTAATAATATATTCCAGTTATAATATTAGTATGGCTGAGCTGCGATTACGTCGTATTCGGTTTAATGGTCTTACTGTTGGACGAAACGAGAATTCTATCCAACTCAGAGAATCTGGGTAGAATTTCCGAGACACTAATTCCAAATCCGACTGTCGGAGTGTCGGGGCCGAAAAGATAGATTGTCGTCTTGATTAGCCCCAGACGACGGCACCTTGGGGCAAAAAATGGGCCGAGCTTTAGATGAGGGATGGCTGTTCAGTGTCGCCAGCCCTGTTGATTATAACAGAACACGACTTGACATGTTGACATACATGGGATGATAAAGGTCTAGAGAGGCTGAGAAGTTTAAAATAGGAATCTATCAATACAAAGAAGTGTGTAGTTAACCTATTGAATACGAATTGAAAAATATTCCTTCTAATGAAGAGTAAGGAAAGGTTAACTTGTCCAAGAACGCGTTGAGAATCTTCCTGAGAGGTAGAAAGTTGCGTATAAAAAGTTTAAACTTGAATGGACACGGGAGTTTTCCTAAATCTCTAGATTATTAACTATTTTCGGCACTGGGATTTTTAGGAGCCGAAATTTCTCCAGTACAGTACATGCTTCGGCAATGGTGTTCAAACGGGTACTTTTCCAACATATTGTGACTTACTTGTTTTTGAACAAACAATAACCTTCTAAGGAAACCTCCATCAAGAAGAAAACCTTGAGTTGTTTACATTCTTTTATCAACACTTAAACAGTTATATAACACCAACAAAAATTGTTAAATGAGATTTGGAAGTGACATTAAGACTAAAAAGGAATCCCAACCTTCCATCATGTTTGTCGTGTGAAATATTTTAAGTGAAAAAAATATTTAAGTTTTAAATATTTAAAACACTACAACATTTTAAAAACAACTTAAATGTTTGTTCTTTAACTTTAAGATTTTAAAGATAGGTTTTAACGAGGAAAACTAAGCAGAATGTGTCTTAAAATATTTACAAAATACATTTTTTTCCTAGAACATTATATTTTGATTACATTCAATTTTCATCATTGTGTTCCTAACTGGTAACAATAACAACAACATTGTTGTAATCAGCTGTCGATATTATTGCATTGTTACCATCGTCCTATACGATCAAACATATTACCTCCTACACCTGTACTGAACAATTCAAAAACTTTCACAAAATAACCATGTATTCCCTCAAATTCCTCGTTTGAGCAGTTTCCACTAATAGTTAGGCCTAGTGATAAGATTAAGATGTTTCACACTTCTTCCGCCAACAAAATGGCGACATAACCAGTTGGATAAGACGTGCAACCACGATTGCGACACGTTGGTTGTTGGTTGGTGTTTCTCTTCAGATATAACGGCGTCTTTATTACACCAGCTCGAATTGGCCACAGCGTTGCTGAGGCGCATAGCTTATTCGAAACTATGTTTTGATCAAGGACATTGAACCCTGTATGGAGTTGTTAAAATATTGCAAATTGCAAGCTTTTCTCTTGGATTAAGTGAATAACTTGCGATGAAGGTGTGCTATGACGAAATTAGCCTACTTTCAGATTTCACACACAGAATACCGTACCTTTCCACCTACAAAGATATATTTCTGATGAAGTTGATGAACATTAGGTTATCTATTCCGTCACCAGACTTGAAGTTTGCTACACCTTCTGAATCTAAGTTTCGTTAAGTTTGCAAGTTCATTTTAAATTAGTGAGTTGATGAATATTAATGCAATATGAATGAAGAATGGTCAAAAATGATTTGTGCAACTTTGTTACAGAATGAGCTTTATGATCGAAGGGAGCTCTGTGCGGCTTCAAACAGCCAAAATTCTACTTTGTTTTCTCAGGATCGAACTGGCGATGATCTTTTGTATTGTCAGACAAATATTTACTTATTTTCGTATTGTGTAATTGTATTTCTTCAGAGCCTATGCTTACTGGGAAATAGGCTATTTAATATTAAATTTGGTTGAATAAATTACGTTTTGAGTCTTTAGAGGTGGATTTGCTTAACTTGGTTTGATCGTTTTCGTTTCTCAGACTTTATACAAGTGACGCGCACCACTTGACCTCCCACAATCTTTTTAAGTAGTTGATAACAGATATCATACGTTTACTGAATGTTTAAAAAGTGATTAATCTGTTGTTATCTATGATTGTTTTAATGCTACGATCATTACCTACACAGTTTCCATCCTACAGTAGAACTGATTATTTTTTGTTACGTTTTTCCTCTACGTCTGCTATAACAAGATTTTTATAAGTTTTGAGCTTGTAAAATGTGGAACGTGTATAATATTCATAATATTAGCGAAAATCAAACCAATCATTTGAACTCTAAAATCAACATTGGCTGAAATCAATAGAGCGTTGAGTAATTTACTTTCAATACGGCCAAATAAAAGCCCTTTGCAAAGCATATTGGATTCACTCTAGTGGAAGGAGGGTTCTACATGCTTTATTCTTCTGCTTGTATTTCTTCACCCTTCTCCAAACTCCCTTGGGTTACTACAATAGGACAAAAGACCAGTAGGGGTTCAAAATCTCACCTGTAAACGTAAGTCCCAGGTTTTCCGGTTTGGTGAGATGTTGGAACAGCTTTTTGTTTTGGGTCAAGCACCTGGTTCCAAACGGTACACTTATTTGATCCTTCAGGCACAGACACATAATAAAAAATACACAAGTTTAATGTTTTGATTTCCTAACACAGTGACACTTCGGTTGTCAACACTTTGTAAACACTCGTTTTAACTAATAAGAGTTAAAAGCTAAGTTCACATTGCTCATAAACGTTGTTTAATTAAAAATTGTTAAATTAAAACAAAATTTTCATTAATGTTTACCCTATTTATTATTTGTTTAGTGTAAGCGACCAAAATGCTGATAATCAATTTGTTACGAATATTTTAATTTATAAGGTATTTCTAAAAGCCTTCACACTATTAAATAAATCGAAATAAAACTCATCCCTCATTACTCACAAGGGTGTAATAAAATCCATTGACTACACTTGCGAATATAGGTCATCACACCTGCACACGATCCACAGCTGTTATTGATTCACGGAACACTGCACTGGTTTCCACAGATACTCCACGAACTACGGACACTGTTTTGATTGTAAAAATCAAAATAGGTAATCGCGAAATTCTAATCTTGCAGACAACTCTAACCTAACCCCCCATGGCTCTAGCCTCTACTCCAACGGTTGCCCAGCCTAAACTGAGCTCTGAATTCAAATGTGTCGGAGATTAGTTCGTGTAGGCGACACAGAGCGCTGAAGTCGCGTCAATCGCAGCTTTGAACAACTCTGTGAGCCGATCATGGTAAAGATTCAGCTCAATTTGAGATTGAAGAACGAATAAAAAAAAAAAAAATATCGGTGTTCTCCGTGGCTTTACATAAAACTTTTATACAGTAACCATATTACAATATAAAATTGGTATTCTCTTATTGGTTTCTAAATTGGTTTCTCTTATGAGGCATATTTAATACAAAAGGCCTAAAAAATATACTTAACACAAGCAATAGGTTCATCTACAAAGAATATTAAATTATTCTTCATTTTCTTATTGATATGATGATTTATGTCGATTGTATTATTTATATTGTACTCATTTTAATGACTTTTTGAGGTTTCGTTTTCAAATAGGTTAAATAATTAAAATAACGACATAGAGCTGTATTTATTTAATAACAAAATTTTCGATCGACTATTGCTGTAGTGTCATTATCATCACCATAAATGTTTATATTCAAATAAAAAATTAAAGGCAATAAAATGTTTTACCAACTAAAAAATATTATCTGAGTATTTTTACAAATCGGTTATAAGGGCTATTAAATAATAATACATTATATACTAAATTTCCTCCTGTGAAATCAAAATTTAATCTTAATTAAGTCGCTGATGCAGCTCGCTCACTATTGAACTGATCTTTTCAAAGACTCGTTCACCCAAACAGTTCGCCAGAGATTTATCATGGCTGTAAACTCACATTTCATCAGTTTTACGACTACCAATCATCGAATCATCCGAACCAAACCGTCGTAAAGCCGTAAAACAATCTTGTCACGCGTTTGGGAAAGATATGCCTTCATCCGATTGAATTCACGGCCCGTTTGATTAAATTTTGTGGGCTTTTTCCATCCAAAACAATCAGATTATGGAGTGTGGTCCGTTATTGGTTTACGTTTAGGAAACTAAAGGTCAAATTTCGGTCGTGGAACGACTATATTTTTGCCATACATAGAAAAATTATACAATAATATTTAAATATTTACCATATCAAGTAATTTAAATATCAACATATGCCAGCTAAAACTCTTACTAACATATATTAAATCTATGAAGTTCACCAAAAAAGGGGCTTGCCAGGCTTCGACAGTTTTGTACATTTAGTAACATCATTGACTATATATATAGTCAATGGTAACATATAATTTTACCTTAGTTTTTTTAGTAGGCTATAATATAAGTGTATATTAATATTGAGCACATGCTACCCTAATAACGTAATTTACTATAGACAATCAACCATTTAGATGGTTAAAATAAGGGTTTTAAAATTGCTTTTTGTAAAAGAAGGGAATAAAAATCGATAAACATAATTCACAACACCACCAGAAATATATACCTATCAATTTTTAACACCAAGCTACTCTATATTAATATTAAATCCCAAATCTTCAATCATAGACACTCATCTGTTTATTTAAAGCCCACATCCAGATCTCAGCTCGGCGGGCCATTTAAACTATGACGTCAAAGATCAGCTGTTCCGCCGGAACTGGTGCATGTGGAGCTGCTACTTCCGGTCCACAGCTCCCCGTGTTCCCGGGCCGGGTGTCACTTCCGGTTCTGTATAAACACATTTAAATGCCCACTTTCCCACAGCAAATGCTCCCCTTGCCATGTGTTGGGCCTATTCTCGGAGCAATGAGACCTTATGGGAATTGAACATACACACTTGGTGGCAAGATAGTTGATGCAATCTTAACTTTGGGTACTACAATGCCCAAAAGTAGGCTTGAAGATTTCATATTGCGAAATATGGAGCCTTTTATGTATGTTTTATGGCATTAAAGTGTGCCTTTTTTGACTAAACATTCTGTATAGTAAAGGTGAAGTAGACGACATATTTTCGTTGGGATCATTACTAGGTATATTTTTTTACTATGCATTGCAGTGAAGGGCGTGACAAACCTACATAATTAAGTGAGGTAGCCAATTAATTCCGTCAATACGCAAAACTAGTTCAGGGCTTTATTAAATATCACAAAAATAACTATCATTTCCGTTATATTCAACTAATCGACTATTTTCCATATCTAAAACCGTTACACAATCTACAAGACCGCAAATGTATTAATGAGTTTAATTGAGGACTTCGGATTGTTCGGCTAAATAACATCCGTGTTAGGCAAAATCCTCTCCATTAAAATAAATGTTTTAGGTTTGGAACAGAGCCGAGAGAATCCTACAACGGGGTCAGCAACGACTACGGAGGAATAATCATTTTAAATCAACGCTCAGAGTGCCAAATAGTCTCCAAAAGTAGTTGAATTTTGTAATTCCATTTGAATTTCGTAATTAATTGAGTTTTGTAAGATTTAATTTACTGCGTTGAAATCTGGGAAAGTAGAAATCATGAATCAAAATCATGAATCCAGCAGTAATAATAATGTATTCTTGTACAGTTAAGATGCAGATTAAATCCGTTTACAAATACTTACACACATACCCTATTAATTGTACTGTAAATAAATAAATATTGTAAAATTAACACACATATGATATAAATAACAAATATAAATAGGTATACGTAAGGCAAACAAACATATTCAAGCGTTAATTCTGAATACATCAAAAATTACAAAACGTTGTTTAGCGTAAACACAGAACCCTTAAAATACATATTTTAATAATTTTGGGTAAATTCTATTTCTATTATAAAATTATTTTTTTGAAACTGTGTGTGTATTTGCATATTAATTCAATTCAAATGAAAATGACAAACACCGAGATATTTTCAGCATTTAATTTAGTCAGATATGAAGCGTCGAACCAAATATAGACACCAATATTCCAATATTACCTTCGTGGACACATGCCGTTGCAAATATTTGTTTTTTCTGATGAACATTGAAATTTTATTTTCTTAATACCGGTAATTTAGAATGATGATTTAGTTAAACCCATAAAATCGCCAATAGCACAGTTTTGGCATATTTTTATAAAAAAATGGACGAATTTGCATAGAATGTTTAGTGATGATTTAAAACTGACTCCTAATTTTGTAGATAGCCAAAATAAATTGTTTTTGCCATGGATTAATAAAAGAATAAATCTTTTTCTATTTTTTACAAGTTATTTTTAAGATTTGTCATAAAATTTTATTTTGAAGATTTAGACACCTATTCTTTTAGTAATACTCACCACTATAGTAGTTTCCCTTATATACGGTAATTTCAAACAATCCGGACAATATTACTTATTTTATCATCAATAAATCAGTAACCTAATTTAAATTGCAAGAATTTTTTTTTAAATGAAATCTTTTACTGGATATTCAAACAAATGGTTTTTAATACATGTATCAAGCGAATGTAAACATGGACTCTTGGAAATTATGATTGGTCCATCAAGAATTGGTCAAATTTATTAACAATGTTTCAAAACTTCAATTTATTGTAAAACATTGCCTTTCCTCAAAGCTCAAAATTAATTCAACATGCGAAACTAATTTCGAAAATTCACAATCATCGTCGATTTCCTCTAATTCTAAAACGAGCCACGTACAGACAGTTTTGAGGTTAAGGGATTAACCAAAGAATTTTGTGATTGGCAACCAAGAGGAGATTTACGGATAATCTGAACTCAGTCCATTACATGTAGAGATTGGTCCCCTCCCCCTCCCCCCATCATCCTGTATACCCTACCCTATCTATCAAATGCACTCTCCAACCCCTGACCTGATAATTCATCAACAGGCATTAGGCATTATCCAGTAATGACATTGATAAGTCACTTGATATATCCTTCAGTGATGCACGTTTACACAAGATATTCGTACCTCCACCTATAACCTCCATTTATAACTTCCTAATAATTAAGGAAATTGGCTATTGAATAAGAGTGTTAAATTAATTTTAAATATATTTTATTTGTTAGTTATGAGTGTACAGTTTTTATTTTATTTTTGTTAATTTATTAATATTTTTATGTAGGCCTATCATTTTATTTGTTCATTTTTGTATATTTATTGTTTTTTATGTAGGCCTATAATTTTATTTTTGTATATTTATATTTATTTAAGTTTTGTTTTTCCAAGTCATTATATTTTTAAAGACTATTGTCTACCCATAAACACGGTAAAATACCCATAGTATGTTTTTTTATTATTTATATGCCTATTTTAGTTTGGTTAAATGTATATAGAATAATATGTTGATACTGATTAAACTCTGCAGTTTGTTCGTTGATAAAATGTAAGTAAAAAGGCCTACAAGTATATACAATTTGTTAAATTTAATAGACTATTAGGAAATCGGATTACACAAAAAAATGTTACAACTATTCCCTTCATTAAAATATGTCATTAAAACGCTTTCTCGTTCAACGAAAATAACAAAATTTTATATATTAAAATACAATAATGCAGTTTCTTTTTACTAGGCTTCTTACATAGTGATCGATAAGAAACTGTTAAGGATTTCAGACTTAATTAATATTACGATAGCAGCTATTTTATAAATGAAAACGACCTGTATTTATATTATTTTTATTTATCTTAATATTAAAAGTTTTAATTGATGTGCAGTAGTTGGTGCATTTTGTTTTAATTTCCTAATTCCGTTCCAGTGTCATGTAAACCCCAAAGGCCCTGGAACAAATCCTACTGTAAAAGCAACATATGGTTACCTCACTTGCATGTTTAGTTAATTAACTCTTTGCCTCTTCATGTGATACCGTTGCATCTCAACTTATTTTCAATAATCTTAAATTGTTTATTGACAGCTTTCCTGTGCAGATATAAGTACGGATTGATTTGTGAATAAACATTGCAATTTAAATATGAAATATTACAAACTATTATTGCGGGAGGATAATTGTATACTTTATGAATCACATAGTTGGAAGAAAAAAAATCACAAATTAAATTTTCAAATCTGTAAAACATAATCTATTCAACTCTAAA